ATGATAATGGTGGTGCAGATGATGGTGGTATTGATGGTGATGATGGTGATTCTGATGATGGTGAAGATGATGATGGGATGATGGTGATGGTGATGATAGTGACGGTGATGTGGTGATACGGTGGTGGTGATGACGTCGATCAGGATGATGGTGGTGCAGATGATGGTGGTATTGATGGTTATGATGGGGATAATGGTGACAGTGATGTGGTGATATGGTGGTGGTGATAATGATGACCAGGATGATGGTGATGCAGATGGTGGTACTCATGGTGATGGTGATGATGGTGACGGTGATGATGGTGATGGTGATGATGGTGATAATGATGATGATGATGGGATGATGGTGATGGTGATGATGGTGATGGTGATGATGGTGATAATGATGGTGATGGGATGATGGTGATGGTGATGGTGATGGTGATGATGGTGATAATGATGATGATGATGGGATGATGGTGATGGTGATGATGGTGATAATGATGGTGATGGTGATGATGGTGATGGTGATGATGGTGATGGTGATGATGGTGATAATGATGATGATGGTGATGATGGTGATGATGATGGTGATGGTGATGATGGTGATAATGATGATGATGATGGGATGATGGTGATGGTGATGGTGATGATAGTGATGGTAATATGGTGATACAGTGGTGGTGATGACACCGATCAGGATGATGGTGGTGCAGATGATGGTGGTACTGATGGTGATGATGGTGATAACTAATGACGGTGGTGATGATGGTGATGATCATGACGGTGATGATGATCACGACAGTATCAGCAGGGGAAGCAGCCACTGTAGTAGCAATCCGAATACACATGAGACAGCCCTTACTATGCACCAGACACTATTCTAGACACCTCACATATGTTGGGTCACTCAACTGACACCACAACACCTGAGGTAAGTGCTCATGATCTCCACTTGATAAATGAGAAACTGAGGCACAGAGAAGTCAAGTCACCTTCCTGAAGGCACACAGGACGTGCTAGTGCTGGGATTCGGAGCAAGCACCTGGTCCCATAATCAGTGGACTCAGAAACAACACCGTAAACTAATAGGCAAATGCTTTTAGACAGTGAAAAGTATGAAGACCATCAAGAGTGTGGTGTGAGTGCGACTGGGTGTGAGGAGGCACATTCGGTGAGAGGTCAAGGAGGGCCTCTCTGAGCAGACCCTGGTTGGAGACGGGAAGGATGAGGGTTGTGAGAAGTGTTCGGGCAGGTGGCACAGCAAGTGCAAAGGCCCTGGGGTGGAGTGAGCTGGGAGCATTCAAGGAACAGCAAGAAGGCCAGAGACGCTGCAGCAAAATAAGCAGATGGGGAGATGGAGGCCAGGCCGTGGGGGCCTCGCAGGCCATGGGACATGGTGTGGGTTTACTGTGAGTGGGTGGAAGCCCCCAGAGCCCCTGCAGGGAGTCATCTCAGTCACTCCATGGTTCCTGAGTCTGGGAGGCTGATTCTGGGCTATGGGCAGGTCGGGGTCTCTGCTGTGTCCTGGGGGCAATGGGAGGAATCTGCTCCCAGCATTTATAAGCACATCATGAGCAAGACGGCAGGAGCCCTCTCTGAGGTGATCATGTCTGGCAAAGTCACTCCTAACACACCCTGTTTCCAGGAGTTAGTGTCTTGACCTGGCCCAGGACACCACTGAGCTAATCAAGGAACGTGTGTCCATTTGAGTGGATTGCAGCAGCCAGGGTGGCCCAGCACTGGGGATTAGATCCAGGCTGTGGTTCTGTGAGATTCTCTCTCCACGCACGTCAACAGCACCACAGAAGCTCTGTTCCCTTCCCAAGTCATCAGGAGACTTCGGGATGCATTTATAAGTAGAGCTGCTGAGCTGTCGTGAAGTCATCCCAGGCGTCCTGGAGGCCTGAGCAGGCCACATCTCTGCAGGCAGGACCAACAGGCAGGGGGCGGGCAGCTTTGCTGTCAGGGGCAAGGCTCTAATTAAACTTGTCATTGCCCTGGCTCTGGCTCCGGGGCCGCCTTCAGGAAAATCGATGATCAGAAATGCAGCTGGTGGGGTGCCCAGACCCCCTGGGACCTGCCTTCATCTGAGGACGCCACTCGGCTTTGCACATGAGCTGCGCCCTCCCAGGAGGCTGTGCTTTCATGAGGAGGTGTGTGACTGTCTTAATGAGGCCTCCCTGGCACTGAGCCAACCTAATCTCAGCTCCTCAGGGTGAGTTCTTGGAGCTCTGACTGTCCTCATCCCCATCACAGCCTGGCTGAGCCCCGAGCAGTGGGTGCTCTGACACTAAATCATGTTTAGGGCCCTCATTGTGGAGGGGGAGACCCCAATGTGCCCCAGCCCACACCCCGCCCCCTCCATCCTCTTCCCCCCTCACTGGGCTCATTGGGAAATGCCTGGAATTATTCCAGGACAGCTTTATCCCTTGCTCAGTAAACAGCAGGTGTCTGCAGAGAGAGGTCCTCATGGGGCAGACTCTTCCATGCCCCAGGGCCCATGTCCCCTCCCTCCTGGGCACCCTTAGTGCCCATTCCCAGCCTCCCTGGGGCAGGGGGTGTCAGGCGACCAAGCTCTGCCCAGGGTACAGCACTTCCAGGCCAACCATGAAGAAGGCCCTGCACTTTCTCTTCCTTATCAGCCAGTTGGACAGAGAGGACCCCAGGGGCTCAGAGGACAGGGAGGGGAGAGGCAGGAGTCCAGGCCCTGACTGACTGTTGGGAGAAGGGGTGATCCTGTGCCCCACTTTGGCAGGTCCGGAAGGAACCCTGGACTCACCCTGGTTGAAGTCGCTGCAGGGGTGGGGTCTGCTGTTAGGGTCTCTTGCCCACCCTGACCACACAGCACTGAGTCCAGACTCAGTTCCTCCTCCAGATGCAGTTGGTCTGAATGGGTCAGCTCCTTGTTCCAGGGGACGTGCTCTGGGGGATTCTGACACGGGACAAAGGAGAGGAGACCGGCCACCTTGCCTGCGAAGGGCCCAGAAGTTGGTTCTGGCTGGAATGACCCGTGTCCTCTTTCCTCCCGACTTGAGGATCTCACCCCGCAGGGCACAGGAATCAACTTCTCGGTCACGTGGCTGGATCCTGCCAAACGTCTGTTCTCCTTCCCTTCGAGACAGTTCTTACCTCTCCTGCCCACCCCCTTCCCTCTGTCCCCTGTGATTTGAAGGAGGCTGATCCATCCTCCACCCCAGCTCCTGCAGCCCGGGCTGGTCAGCGTCAGCCTTGGCCCTGGACTCAGCGATGGGTTAGAGACGGGTTCATGCCCCTGCCAGGCCAGGAGGCTGAATTCCAGACCTTTGTGGGAACTGGCAGAAGCAGGGAGCTCGCTCTCCACTGAGTTGGGAGGCTGGTGGGGTGTCAGGCTGGGGTGGCTGAGAGCATCACACAGAGGAAAGCAAATCAAAGCTGGAGAAAGCCCGGGAGAGGACGGGAAGTGACTGCTCTTGAGGTCTGGACAGACGCTCCCGCCACATGAAAGGGTACATGGGTTTTATTCACTTTTCCACCTAAGCCAGCTTCATTTGAGTTTGTCACTTGCTACAAAAGATGCCCATTGTTACCACCCAGGACTCCAGGAAAAGACTGAGCCCAAAATTCTGTCACCAGAGAGGGGGCCGAGTGACAGCTGGTCATCTCCCACCTGTTGTGCAAGTGTGGGTCCTCGCGTTCTGTCTCCCCGCACTGAGTACGGGGCAGGGGCAACGCTGTGGGGGCCGCCACCCTGTTACGTCACAGCCAACGGCGTGTTTAGGGCTCTGCAGAGAAGGGGCCTGGGTCCGAGCTCAAGCAGAAAGACTCAGACCCTCATGGGAGGTGGGGAGGGGGTGATCTCAGCATCGAAGCCGAGAGACGTGTTGGTCCTTCGAATGTGATTCTGAACAGACTGGAAGGGCTGAATAGCCTTCTCTCTGGGCCTCCATTGCTCTCCCTGGAAAGCATAGGCACTGGAAAAATCATCCATGCTTTCAGCAAATGTCCAGTGGCATCGTGCTGGATATTGGCATCAAAATGGCCCTTTGTTCCCCAACTGCATGGATTTATAGTCTAGGCAGGAAATCCTACATTTAAACAAATAATCATAGAGACAAATAAGTCATTACAACTTGTGATAAGTTCTAGGCAGGAAAAAAGACAGGTCACTTGAAGTCATATAAAACGAGGGATGGGATGGGCAAGTCGGGGTGCCCGGGACCTCCCCACTGGCACAATGGACAAAGGGTAAATAGAAAGAGGGGCCCCTATGGTCTCAGAACTTTCATAGATTATATAGGTGTGTCCAAGGGCATGTGTGTGTCCAAGGGCATAATTGGCCTTGAGAACTATGTTTCCACAGGACTGCGTGGGCTCCACACACATCACCCTGCTCAGAAGGCACGGCTGCTACCAGGGAACCACAATGACCCTTCATGCCCCCTCGTAAAGGGTCTCCGTGTCCACCTCTCAAGGCAGCCCGGGGCAGCAGGACCGTTAGGGTCTGGTCAGTTGGTGACACTGCTTCCTTCCTTTAGCCTGATGTCCATGAGGCCTGTGGCATCCCGCAGCTGAGCGACCGCATCCCTCCATCCGCAGGGACAGCATGGTCAGGAGTGGTAGGATCTGGGAACCTTTGCTGGTGTCTTGTGCTCCTGTGTGACCTCTGTCTCTCCTAACAGGCCTCAAAGCGGACAGAGGCAATATCACAGTTTGTGCTTTCAAGAAGGCAGGAGGATGCGTCGGCGGCTGGAAGATGAGGATTTCCTGAAACAGGGCTGGGATGGGGAAGCTCAGTTTCAGGATAACCGTGGCAGTCCCTGAGCACCAGCTCCCAGCCTGTCTCCTTTCCGCCCTGCTGGCTGCCAGCTCCAGTTTTCATGGGCATCTGAACCTGTGCACGGGCGGTGACCACAGGACCCTCGAGGTTACTTCACTCGTCCCCTCCGCCCACTTTTATGGAGAAAGAGGTCTGGCTGTTGTCCACACTGATCAGTGTAACTTTCACAAACATTGCAACAAAAGACTTTTATTTTATTTTTTTTATTTTTTTTGCCAATCAGTTTGAGCTTATGAGGTTGCTCAGGTTAGTCTTGAACTGATGACCTCGCCTTCGCAAGTGCCATGACCTCCGGCGGGAGCCACTTTGGACCCCAACAAAAGACTTTCAAAGACACAGAGGAGGCTCCAAGGCATCTTCAAAAGATGCCTTGTATTTTCTTATCACGGTGATTCACTGTAGAGTGCCTGAAAACAGATATGATTGTGGAGGAAGAAGTTATAAGCCCTGCACACACGTATACATGTAAAAGAAAAGATGATGCCATAGACACGATAAGAACACCAACTTTTCCCCTTAAAACCTCTTTTAACTGTGGTCAAATACACGTAACATACAATTCACCAGTTAACCTTTTTAAAAACCTTTGAACTGAGGAATGGTTGGCAGACAAAGAGCTGCCTGTGTTTCACGTGTGCAGCTGGGCGGGTCTGGGGATGAGTGTGCACTCGCGAAACCATGGCCACCGTCGGGCCGTCAACACGCCAGCTAAAAGCTCCTCCCACCCTCTGTTTATTGGCTTTTTTCTGAGCGTGATAAGAGCATTTCACATAAGATGTGGCCCACACTGCAGCAGACCTCGGGGCATGCGTCTTCTGAGACGGTTTGGGTCCGTGTTGCTGCCCAAACCTCGTGTGGAGCCGTAACCCTAATGCCGGAGCGGGGCCAGCGGGGAGGCGTTTGGGTCAGGGAGGTGGACCCCCCACGGCTTGGTGCTTTGTGATGGTGAGTGAGTTCTCGAAAGATCTGGTCAGCTTCGGCCATGAGTAAAAGCTCCCTGAGGCCTCCCCAGGGGCGGACGCCATTATGCTTCCTGTACAGCTGCAGAACCAGGAGCCAATGAAACCTGTTTTCTTACAAGTTACCCAGTCTCGGGAGCTTCTTTTCAGCAATTCGAGAAGGGACTAACGCATGCTGTATGAGCGATACATGACACCCCTGGACCCCCCAGCTCCCCCTCCCCTTCCCCCAGCCCCCGTGCTCCTCTCTGCCTCCGTGAGCCCATTTCAGATGCCTCATATAAGGCACTGTGTGGATTTGTCCTTTGTGGCTGGCTTCTTTCACCCAGCACAGCATCCTCCACGTGTATCCATGCTGCCTTAAGTGGCAGGATTTCTTTCTCTTTAGGCTGAATAAGGCTCCGTCCGTGGACGTCCCACGATTCCAGCATCCACTCGCTGTTGGCGTCCGCTGGCTGCTCCCACCTCCTGGCTGTTGTGAGCCCATGCTGGGCACGTGGCCAGCAGACAGGTGGGGAAGGCGCTGTGTGACCTGGTGGCTGCTCCTGCTCACTCAACCCATTTTGCTGGGCGCCTGTGCTCGGCCCTCAACATCCCAGCTTCAAAGTAGACTCAGAAGTTACATTTGAGGCAATGGTGTGGGTGAGATGCTTTGGGGACATCAAGGAGGCCACGGCCAGGCAGTGGGCATGCGGAATGGCTCTTCCGGGGATTCCCACCTGCCTGGCAGTGATGCTTCCCCGCCATTGCCCTCCTGTCCTTGTCCCAGCTCTCCAGGGACAACCGAGTCTGCATTTGTTCTGCTCCCCCACCACCCCTAGCTCAGGGCCTGAAGGGCAGAGGGCAGTGCCAGCTTCCTAAAGCACTGGGGGGCAGAGGGCAGTGCCAGCTTCCTAAAGCACTGGGGGACAGAGGGCAGTGCCAGCTTCCTAAAGCACTGGGGGACAGAGGGCAGTGCCAGCTTCCTAAAGCACTGGGGGGCAGAGGGCCGGATGTCAATGTGAGGGTGTGCAGCCACTGTGACTACTGGCAACTATCACTTCTCTCAAAGTCAGCAGCACTCACCTGGCTACCCGCTGCACAGCTCCCAGAGGGGCCTCCAGCCCTCCCCACCACCAACACACAGAGGACACGCAGGGTCAAGCTGGATGCATTGCTGGATGCGTTGCTGGATGCGTTGCTGGATGCGTTGCTGCGCTTGGGATGTTGTGGTCCCCAGAGGAGGCTCACAAGGTGCCCAGCAGCAGCTGAAGCAGAGCCTTGAGCAAGGGGCAAACCCGTTCTGGTATCACCTGGTCCCTGCTGCAGGGAGAGGGGCACACTCACCCACCCCCACTGTGTGGGTCCACTGTGTTAGTGGAGGGTGGCGGCAGGGGTCATCCTGGTCTGAATTCCAGAAGACATGTGGCTGGAGATGACCCAAACTGGGTCAGTAGGGTTCGGAGAAATAGGAGGGAGACCTAGGGTGCCAGATTTGGAAATAAGGACGGGTGTGCAGTTAAATGTCCATCTCTGCTAAAGTGCATGTGTGCATGGACGTGGGTATCCATGCTCGCACAGATTCACTTGAGCAGCAGCAGTGGGGACCTTTCCATGACATCCAGGTGACACAGGCCACCACGCTTTGTGGGCTTCCTCGCCACAGCTGGGCCCTGGGTGTTTTGAGGAGGATCATCCGGCTCACCAGCCACCCTGCTCCCCAGAGCGCCTCCCTGCCCCTCCCGTGTGCCCCTCGGTCACGCCTCCCTGCCCCTCCCGTGTGGCCCTCGGTCACACCTCCCTGCCCCTCCCGTGTGGCCCTTGGTCAAGCCTCCCTGCCCCTCCCATGTGGCCCTGGTTCACACCTCCCTGCCCCTCCCGTGTGGCCCTGGTTCACGCCTCCCTGCCCCTCCTGTGTGGCCCTGGTTCACACCTCCCTGGCCCTCCTGTGTGGCCCTGGTTCACGCCTCCCTGCCCCTCCCATGTGGCCCTGGTTCACACCTCCCTGCCCCTCCCGTGTGGCCCTTGGTCATACCTCCCCCCCCTCCCGTGTGGCCCTCTGTCACACCTCTCTGCCCCTCTCGTGCGGCCCTGGTTCACACCTCCCTGCCCCTCCCATGTGGCCCTCAGTCACTCCTCTTTGCCTCTCCCGAGTGGCCCTCAGTCACGCCTCCCTGCCCCTCCTGTGTGGCCCTGGTTCACGCCTCCCTGCCCCTCCCATGTGGCCCTGGTTCACGCCTCCCTGCCCCTCCCGTGTGGCCCTGGTTCACGCCTCCCTGCCCCTCCTGTGTGGCCCTGGTTCACGCCTCCCTGCCCCTCCTGTGTGGCCCTGGTTCACGCCTCTCTGCCTCTCCCGAGTGGCACTCACAGATGTCTTTCAAGAGGAGCTCACGGTTGCTTATTTCTAATGTTCCATTTTGCTTGGAAAAGTTTGAGCCAGTCTAAGTTTTCCTGTAAATTAAGGAAATTGAGCAGTGCTGACAAATGACTTGGTTTTTTTTGCTGCTATTGTTGTCTGAAACCACTTCCCTTTGAAGTTTAGTGAAATGAGAAAGTAGCCTGGGTTGATAAATCCGTATTGACTTTACCTGGAATATCTCACGTCTTTTCATTTCAACCCTTCTTAGATTTCAGAAAAGCTCTCTTAATTGTGTCTCTGGATCCTTCTCTATTTCACTTTTCTCACAGAAACAAACTGCATACGCCTTACCTCTTTGTGCTTTTCTTTCCTTTTTTTAATTTTGACAGCGTCTCGCTCTGTCGCCCAGGCTGGAGTGCAGGGGTGTGATCTTGGCTCTCTACAACCTGTCTCCAGGGTTCATGCGATTCTCCTGCCTCAGCCTCCCCAGTAGCTGGGACTATCGGCGTGTGCCACCACACCCAGCCAATTTTTGTATTGTTAGTAGAGACGGGCTTTTGCCATGTTGGCCAGGCTGGCCTTGAACTCCTGACCTCAGGCGATCTGCCCACCTCGGCCTCCCAGAGTGCTGGGATCACAGGCGTGAGCCCCCGCGCCCGTACGAATTGTTTCCTCATTAATCCTTCTGGAAATTATTTCTGTTCCGTTTAGTTTGCAAAGGTCTCCTCGTTGCTGCTGCTTCCGTCCATACTGTCTCTTCCTCTTTCTGTGATTATGACCTCCATTTCAGGAGCTCCTGCAGCCGAGACATGGACCCCCACTTTATGCCAAGCAGAGGGTGGTGGGGTTCACTCGTATGACTGTGAGGTTCGCTGAGTCTGTGGGCCCTGCCACTGTGGGCTCTGCCCTGCCTGGCGCCCCATCCTGCCTCTGACCCACCCGCCACACTGCATCCTGGGTCCACACCTCCCACACCTGTGGATTTCAGCATCCAGCGTTGTTTCTTGGTGCTCCCTCTCTCAGGCTCAGTTCCTCGTGGACCTGAGATCTTCCCACCCAGCATCTCCCTAAATACTGCCAGTGGTGTTCAGCTGATGGCCACTCCTTCTCCACCACCCGACTTCTTGCCAGCTGGTGTCCAGTTACATTTTGGCAATGGTGGTCATTGGGCGAGCGTGGAGAGAGGGACAATGTGGAAGTCCTCTCTGCTCTCTGTGGTGGCACCATGGGGCCTGGTGACATCACAGGACATGGTCTCTGGTGGGCCTGCCAGGTGTGTTGTTGGGTGTCAGGGGCCAAAACAGGCACAGTGAAGGGGTGGGGAAGGGAAGGACCTGCCCACTGCTCCTTTCCTCATTCAGAGCAGGCTGTGGCCAGGTCCCTGGGAGAGGGAAGAACCTACCCACTGCTCCTCTCCTCATTCAGAGCAGGCTGCAGCCAGGTCCCTGGTGAAGGGGTCTTCAGATTGCAGCTCTGAACAGAAGGGCTGGTGGATGATATTTGAAGCCATGGAGAACATGCCTGGAAAAGACCAAGGGCCAGGGCCAAGCCCGAATTACCCAAGAGAAGAGGGGACATTGAAAAAAGAAATGGAGGAGGACCAAGCCCAGGACTAGGGGAATATCCACCTCCATTTCAGGTATGCCAGAGTCCTTTCTCAGAGGAGAAGTGGTAGGTCACAGCGACTCAGGCCTGATCCTGCTTTGTACCTAGAAGAACACAAGATCTTCTTCAGAAATCTCAAGCTCCGACGATGCCTTGAGACCCATGAGGAAGGGTCTGAAATTCCATGAAAATCGAGTCTATTTTCTGGATCCCAGAGGTGAGCATGGGCTGAATGCTCATCCACACATCTTCCAGGATCATGAGAATGGGAGATGCACGTTGTACCCTCTGATCCCCTGATGGCCTCAGCAGGAGGTTTTTCTATTGTCTGGAGAGCTGTGCATCTTCCTCTCCGTCGGGCTCATTCTGAAACACAACCCCAGCATCCACATGGCAGATGCTTCCCGGGCACTCTTAAGAGTCACAGGACGCCTGGGCTACTCAGGACACAGCAGGTGGTGGCTGTGGAGCCCAAAAAGATTTATTTTAAAAGCCCAAGGGGACAAATACGGCATCTCGCATGGTACTCCATACTTAAAAATATTCAGATTAATTATAGAAAAATTTGCATTCAAGAGCATGCCTGTAAAGAAGAGTTAAAAATTGCAGCGTGAGTAAGAGTATCTCCCTCAGCATCTCCAGGGGAGCAGAGCCTCTGGGCTCCGCCTGGTCTGGCTGGCACTGCTCAGCTGGCACTCTGACAAGTGTTGAGCTGGCAAGTGTCGGACTGGCTGGGTCAGGGGCTCATGCCCACTGTAGAAGCACAACCTGAGGCAGACCTCACCCCAACCCCTGGCCTGAGAAGGTGGGCCCTTGTCTGAGGAAGGGCAAGAGGCTGTCTTTAGAGGTGGGGTTCGACGCCTGCCACATGGACTCTTCTCAGATGGTGACATGCTGGGTCTGTCCATGTCTCTGGCCCATCTCCTGCACTGCTAACTTTGTGCAGAAACCACAGTTCCTGGGTTCTGGGTCAGCGTTGGGCCCAGCCCCTGAGAAGCCATCCTCCTGCCCCTCCCAGCCTCATTACAGCTGCTCAGCCTTCATGAGACTCATTCTCCTCCTGCCAGGGAGGCGGTGCCAAACCACTATTCCTCTTGGACAGGGTGCCTGTCCTAACATGAGAGGATGCCAGGACCGATGAGATAAAGTGAGGACACAGATTCCCAGAGAATGAGAGTGCCTGAGATGCGGCAGTGTGATGTGGAGCAGGGGGGGTGGTCAGCGAGGATGCAGGGCTTCCGCCCAGACACAGGAGGGTCTTGGATGAAGGGAACAGAACACCCAGGTAGCAGTTGGCAGGTAGGTCTATTCTGCCAGTCACCACCAAGCAGCACTCACTCAGTTACCTGTGCGTGCATTCATTCACTCACTCACTCTCCCATGCATGCATTCAGTCATTCACTCACTCAACTATGCACGCATTCACTCACTCACCCACACATACACTCATTCATTCACTCACCCATGCATGCATTCATTCACTCACTCACTCTCCAGTGCATTCATTCATTCATGATTCAATCATTCACCCGCAGGTGAATTCACTCACACATTCATCCAGGCATGAATGCATTCATTCATTCACTTACATTCCTGGCTGCCACCACCATTCTCTGGAGCTCCACATCCTTTCCTGAGAGTGAGGGTGACACTGGAAAATGGCTCCATTCTTGGCCTGAGCTTCCCTGCATCTGTGACTCAGCTACTGGAGTCCTCAGTAGCCAGAGCCAGGGCACAGACAAATGAGAAGCAAATCAGATCCAGGAGACATACGCAGCGCCTTGGGATGCAGTAACACAACCTCTGGAATCACGCAGGTAAAACCCACCACCCATTTTGGGAGTCACAGCAGGAAATCCCTTCAGGACAACAGAGCACGTTGAACTTGAGTCCCTAGAATTCACAGACAGGACCCAAGAACAGGGCGTCCGAGACCCTGACTCCCACTGGGCTGAGCCCGCCTCCCCACACAGGAGGCCAGGTGCATCTCTGAGTGGGGTCTCAGCTGGGAGTCCAGCCCTGCGGCCAGTCCTGTTCCCACGGCCCCGTTCCCACGGTCCTGTTCCCACGGCCCCGTTCCCACGGCCCCGTTCCCACGGTCCCGTTCCCACAGTCTTGTTCCCACGGTCTCGGTCCCACAGTTCTGTTCCCATAGTTCTGCCCAGGGCTTGGGCTGCTACACAGGCTCTAGGGCACTTGTGGAATGAGAAGCGACAGTGTTTCCTTGTGGGTATCAGGAAGGGGTGGCCCCTCTGCGACCTCCCAGTTTCCAGAACAGTCGAGGGAGCCAACAGAAGCGTCCCCACCTCGTGGCGCCAGTCTTGCCCCTCTGCACTAATGGCCGCTGATTGTTAGGTAGGTTTCCTGGCAGGGCCAGTCAGAACCCTGAGCCACTGAGCTCAACAGCGATTGGTTCACGATGTGCACGTGACCTGTGTGGGTCCAATCAGAGTCCTAAGACTGGTGTGGGCGGTCCCAGAACCAGCTCATTTATTGCTGGATGTGAGCCCTGGGGTGTGGGCTGGAGATGGAGCAGCCAGCCACCTGCAGGGACGACCCCTCCTAGACTAGCTAATGAAGGGGCTATCCTAACATAAACAAACACACGGCTGGAATTATGGAAAAGAACACAGGCGCGGCCGGGCGCGGTGGCTCAAGCCTGTAATCCCAGCACTTTGGGAGGCCGAGGCGGGTGGATCACGAGGTCAAGAGATCGAGACCATCCTGGTCAACATGGTGAAACCCCGTCTCTACTAAAAATACAAAAAATTAGCTGGGCATGGTGGCAAGTGCCTGTAATCCCAGCTACTCAGGAGGCTGAGGCAGGAGAATTGCCTGAACCCAGGAGGTGGAGGTTGCGGTGAGCCGAGATTGCGCCATTGCACTCCAGCCTGGGTAACAAGAGCGAAACTCCGTCTCAAAAAAAAAAAAGAAAAAGAAAAAAGAACACAGGCGCTCCCATAACATAAACGAATCCAGGGACAACGAGCCAGGGATGGACCAGGAAAACTGGATGCGGACCCTTTCAGCCTCTCAATCCTGCTCATTCTGGCTGGTGCGGGGAGTCAGGATGGCTCCTGCATGCTCTAATCCAGGTTGAATGGGGTTTCCTTCTCTTGCCCCCAAGAGGCCCTGATGGACACACTCCAGAGGCACCTGGCACTGCCTCTGTCTCCCTCTGGTTTTACCCACTGCCCAAGCCTGAGCCAGCTCTCAGTCAGAGAAGAGCATGGTGGGGATGTGGACCTGGGATTGGGACTCGAGGGGCATCACCTGGTTGGCCCCATGTCCTCACGGTGAAATGCCACTATGTGCAGCTCTCACGTCAGTCCTGAGCCCAGCTCAGCTTCGGGTTCTGTGATGAGTTCAGCCCAAACGGCATGTTGCACAGAAGGCGGAGTGTCAGGCAGAAGAAGCCTCCTTCCTAACACAGATCTCAGGTGAGAGGGAACCGGAGCCTGGGCAGCACTGCCGACCCTGCAAGGGGCTGTGAGACTGGATCAGTCCTGGTCTTTCCTGGGAGGTTTCCACACGACCAGTCTCTTAGAGGAACTGCAGGAGGACCGGGCCAGGGCGCCCAGACATGCTGAGGGCTGAGACAGCACCTGAGAAGGGTTAAGAATCCCTTCTGGACAGAGTTGCAGCCCTCCCCAGAGGACCAGGGCCACCTGCAGTTCCCTGGCATCTCTCCCGTGTTCCTCGGGAAGCTGCCTCCACTGTCTCCTCTCCAGCTCACAGCAACCCTTCTCCCCGAGGACCGGACACCAAGCCCCGTGGCTTCCGAAGCCTCATGGACAGATCGGCCCATGCTCAAAGGACTAGGACTGAACACTGTCCCATCAGCTCACTCACGTACAGGGTCTGGGGTGGCCTCCTGTCCAGAGAGCCACCCTGGTGAATGACAGGAAGTCAACCAGGGCAGTGTCCAGCGTGGGGCCGGGCGGATGCCACCGTTCCTGGCCCAGCTCCTGGGGAATGATTCTAAGACGTGCGGGGGCCTGGCGTTGGTTCACGGTTGGAGACTCAGTCTCGAAAATAACTGGACAACAGAGATAATTAACATCTGGGGACTTCCCTGGATAGTTCCAGGAGATTTAGCCTGGGTAGCCTGGAGTCAGCCTGGTTAATGGTTGGAGAATCGGTGTGGTCCATGAAGAGGAATAAGTCTTCACACGGGTGACTCAGCCTGATTAATGTTGAGAGGCTCAAGCTCTTGTGTCCCAGAGGGAGAAGGGAAAGCAAATGCTCTAGCCTGTTCTTAAAAGGTAAAAGTAGTAGTTAAATACCTGCTCTAAAGGCGCCTGCTGTGGCTGAGAGGCTGAGCTTGAATAGGTGCCGTGTTCAGGTCCACTTGAGGGACCCTTCATCTTGCTACTCCTCGGTCCATTCGTTCTCCACATCAGCACACACTTGACCCCTCCCCACGTCCTGGATTTTAATTGCCCATTGAGCTGCTCTGAGACCCACAGACTTCTGTAGTAGAGCCGGGAGAGACCAGCACTTGTTAAACTTCTGCAGCAAAATACGACCTGGAATTAGAAGCAGCCCTTGGCAAAGCTCAGTTCAAGAGGATGGTGTGGAGCTGTGAGTGCAGTTACTCAATGTGAAGCCCCCCAGGGAAGGTCAGCTGCTCAGCCTGGTGAGATCATGAAGTAAGGACGCCTCGTGGTCAGGGTCCTCCCAGGGGGCAGTTTCTGGAGTGTGGGAGTTAAGCTGTAAGGGTCACCGAGATGAGTTAGGACGCTGCCTTTCTAAAGTCTCAGCCCCAGTGCTAATTCTCTTCGGGGCACTCGGCTTCCTGATGGTGTGGAAACAGTCACTAGCATCTATCCATCATCCACCCACTTATCCACCCATCTGCATGTCTGTACACCCATCATCCATCCATTCGCCCATCCACCTATCTACCCACTGACTTATTCATTCTCCCATCCACACACTCATCCGTGTGTCACCCACACATCTTTCTACCCATTCACCCATCCATCCATTTGTCATTCATCCATCACTCATCCACCCTTCCACTCATTTATTCATCCATTTCCCCCTCCATTCATTGCTTATCCATCCACCCACCCATCCATTTATCATGTATCCATCATCCACTCATGTGCCCCTTCATTCACACAACATGAATGGATCGTCTGCTCCCTCTCAGGCACTGCTGGGCGGCTGGATTGATAAAAGAACGTGAAAAGAGACATTCTGCTGCCAAGAACGTCCATGCTCCATCACAAGTAACCTTGGCCACGATCATAGATGCTTTGACAGAGATGCTGCCTCAGGTTGGGAAACACGAGGAAACCAGGGCAGCATCTGTCTAGCGGGGATGGAGCCTCTGCGGTGCTTTCTCGCCTTCTCATCCAGTCATCCAACAAGCATTACCGAGCTTCACCCACCCCTGTACTGGACTTAGTAACTGGCTTGAGAAACTTACTGTCCTTGGGGAGTTAGTTACAGAATAGGACTTTTGGAGTCAAATAAGATAAATGCAACTCAGAAATGCTAAGGCCAATGGGAACGTCTACCGACTCAAGGAATACACAAAGGGCTGTTTGCACAAGCTATTCTCTGCCTGCCCCTCTGCATCGATTCTGTGCCCTCCTGTGACATCGCCGTGCCCAGCAGGCTGACCTCTGGAAACGGCACCAGTGCGGCTCCCTGCCCCCTGCATTCTGTTGGATTTAGCTGATGAGAGTGAATAGAAGCCCGAGGGTGGGAGGAGACAGAGGTTGGAGCCTGCCTGACTGAGCTTTGGCAATGGAGGTTTTCCCCAAATAAGACCTCGGATCCTGCCGCATGACCCCTCTCCCAGAGTTACAACCCTCCCTGCATTCTAGAAACAAAGCTCCTCGCCTGTGCCCTGGGGCTTACGGCGAATACCAGCTTCCCTGCCGTTCCAGTTCTTGGGGTGCAGGTTGCCCACCCCTACTTAGACCTCTGTAAATAGCCTCTGCATTGAACTCTCTGCAGAGGGCCTGAGGGTCTGCTCTCAGGCTCGGGGTGTGCAATCAAAGAGCAGGTCAGATGTGCAGTGAGCATCAGAGCAGCCGGCCCTGCATGGTCCAGCCCCACCGCCTCTATCTTCTAATGAGACTGGCTTAGCTCTTTGTCATAGGAGAGCAGCCTTCTCCATATGCCAGAAAACATGCCATCTCTTCCCCCTCTTGGCTTCATGTCAGTTCCAGTTTGAAAAATCCCAGGGAACACTTCCGATAGGCCTGTCTGGGGCCAGGTGACCACCCATAGGCCAATCAGTGGTGGTTATGGGGGCGGAGTCATATATGAGCACAGGATCTTCCTGGAAGCAGGAGGTTGGATGGGGGGAACATGTCCCTGATATCAGAAGGTGCGTTTCCACACGTGATGGGGGCTGCTGGAATGATGAGAGGTGAAGCCCCCGTGTGGATTGTTACCTGTGGCCATTGCGATGTGTCATCAAACCAACAGCACTTATCAAACTTTGAAAAACTGCCCGCTCCATTTTTAACCCAGGGGCCCAGATGCCCATGGCAGCAACAGCCACAGCCCTGAAAGCTGCCCCTGAGCCCCGGGTCTAAGAGGTGGAGGGGGATTGTTTTAGGACTTGCAGAACCCCAGGCACTGCAGGTAAACCAGGACAACCACCTGCTGAGAGTGGACCCGGCCTCGGGTCTGCCCTGGAAGGTCAATAACCCTGAAGCCCTGCCCAGGTTCCCCGGGGCTCTGCACCCCGTGAGCTGCTGGAGGACTCAGGCCGTCAGTCTGGATTTCCCACCCTGCATGCGCAGCAGTCACAGGCTCGGCTCCCCCTGAGGGACACAGGTCACTCACAGAGTCAATAACTGAGAGGTTGGGAGCTGCAGTTTCTCACCTCACTTTGAATCTAGGGTGATTACTGGGTTGGCAGCACTCCTGCAATGTCTGACAGAGAGGTACCTGGGGTTTGGCTTCTAGAGCACTGCCGTGGGGTTGGACGTGCGTGTGTGTGTGTGTGTGTGTGCGCGCACGCGCGTGTGTGTGTGCGTGTGTACAGGTCCTGCGGGAGCTATTTAAGGAGGCTGCTTTGCTGCTGATGGACAGACTCAGACGATGGTGTTAGAAAAACAGACACAATCAGAATGCTGAAGGGGATGCCTCGCCTCGGTGCTGAGAGTCATGATTGCATCTGGGACTGCGTCTGGGTCTTTTATCTGACAGGCAGATGGACGATTGCTCCTGGAAACAGAAGGCAAAGTGCAGGGCACTTCACAGGGAAAATATCTCATCAAAAAGGAGAGATTGGTTCCCTGCTTCATCTCCCTGCAGCACCTGCTTCAACTTCTGTGAACAGAGATGTGAGGTCTCACATTAGATGCCTGAGGCTGGCTCCTGAGTAGACCCATGCATGCCAGGGACCGGAGGCACAGAGGGGAGACACTGGCAATGGGAGGAGGCCCTGGAGTGCCTGTCTCCAGCCTCCCGGGTCCCACGCAGGCAGCGGCTACTGCTTTCTCAAGGTGCCCTCAGCCACACATGGGCCTCCTCCTGGGAAGGGAGGCTCCTGTTCTGCCCCCTGAGGGCCGGGCCTGGACAGTGGAGAAGGGATGACTCTGCAGCCTCCATCCCTGACTGAGAGGGTTAATCACCAGGCGACCTGAGAAATGCCGGAGGCCTGAGTCTGGCTGAAGCTGGGAGCCTCGGGTACAGGTGACCCAGTCCAGGAAATAACTGAGACTGAAGCTGATTAACATCAGTTCAGGGACCCTGCAGGGTGATTTCAGAGAAACCACTTGACCAGCATCGGGAGATGATGCAGCCCAATTACTGCTTGGACACTCAGCCCCGGCAGTAGGAGGGCTGAGCCTGACTCATGCCGGTGACGCAGGCCCTGTAACGCCGGCCCTGTAACTCCTGGAGATCCAGAGGATTGAGTCGCGAGGGAGGGACAGGTGAGGATCACCCTAGAAAAGCACGTAGCCGGGAGACGGGCCTGCTGCAGACGTCCCGGGGACGCAGGCTCAGCCAGGGTCAGAGCAACGCTGGGGCTCCCACCAACCCTCCCACCCCCAAGTGGGGGAACAGAAGCTGGAATAGCTTCAGGAAGAGGGAACAGAACAGAGGAAGACCCAGGGGAGAACAGAGAAAGACCCAGAGGAAAGCAGATGTAGCTACGTTTTGCTGGATAATAAAAGGCTGATGTGGCAAAGATGGGAAGTGAAACTGAGCACACGGCTGCCATGTGCTGGGGCAGGGTTCGGGAGGACTCTCCTGTGAGGAGGGAGGATGGGGAAGGATCTCCAGGGTCTCTGCAGGAGCCAGAGTCTGGGGGTGGATTCCAAAGGGGAAGTGCAGCCAGGCCTTCTTTCCAAGGCTAGAGCAATGGGCCTCAGACCATTTCCTGAGTGCTCGGGGCAGCATCTTCCCAGCACTGAAGCTGAGAGCAGAGACTTGAGGCCAGGCTGCCTGGATGTCCGCCCAGACGCAGATGTTTCTTAGGAATAAGAGATGGGGCAGGAGACTTAAGCTCCCTGTGCCTCAGCTTCCTCCTTGGCACAAAAGGGAGAATGACAATGCCTGCTTCATGGAGCTGCCGCAGGCTCTCGTTATTGCATAGATTCTGGGTGATGGAACTGGGGGCATGCTGCCACATCAGCCATACCAGGCAATGAGCCCGGGATGGGAGGCACCCACCCCAAGTGGCAACCTGATGTGCTTGAGAATCACAGCCCATGCTTGTGTCCCAGTCTTTCTGAGCGCCTCATCGCTTGCACCCAGGACAGGCTGCTCCTCACCAATCCCTGCCATGCTGGAATCTCTGCCCCGTGGACACTGATTTATCTGCCTGCATTGGGGGCAGGAGCATGTGTAGATTCCTCACCCTGGGCCCCTGCAGTGCCAGGGACCAGAGGCACAGAGGGGAGACACTGGCAATGGGAGGAGGCCCTGGAGTGCCTGTCTCCAGCCTCCCGGGTCCCACGCGGGCAGCGGCTACTGCTTTCTCAAGGTGCCCTCAGCCACACATGGGCCTCCTCCTGGGAAGGGAGGCTCCTGTTCTGCCCCCTGAGGGCCGGGCCTGGACAGTGGAGAAGGGATGACTCTGCAGCCTCCATCCCTGACTGAGGGACCTGCAGGGAGAGACGGGCAGTCCTAGAAGAGCCCTGGAGTCCTCTGAGCAGGGCACAGGTGGCTGTGCCACACTGAGCGAGAGCACCAAGGCCAGGAGACCAGCTGACCTGGGAGGGCAGGCTCCTCACGTGGGCACCAGCTGGCCCCGAACGTTCCTGAACTCACTGCTCTGGTCACCTGTATCCCTTCCCGAGGTCCGGGTCTGCGGACACACGTGCCCTGGCGGAGCGGCTGCTGCAGGCGCCCACATCCTCATGGAGAGGAGGATTCCTCGGAGTCCACCCTTCCTGTCAAAGGTGAAGGAGGGCCTGCAGGAAAGCCCGTGCTGCGTTGGGAAGCCCAGGGGCACATGGGTTACGTGACTCGGTGCTCTAACAAGGGACCGCAGGGGACCCGAAAGACACTCCACACCTTGTCACAGTGGCTGCAGAATCACCAGGTCACCCCTGGGCTCACTCCACCTCGGAACCCTGACTTCTGTGGTAGCAACAGCTGACATAAGACCAGCCCAGGCCCTGCAGATCCACGAGGGAGGGGCCTTGTTTCGGTGCCTCCTACCCCCTCCTCACTGCAGGGAGCCTGGAAACCTTCCCTGAGCTGCTCTGCCCTGGCTGGTGGCCCCTCAGCCCCTGTCTGGGCCTCTGTGTAGCCCCCCACAGCCTGCATAGCTCAGGTGTCCAGTGTGAAGCCCCCCATCCCAGACCCCAGCAGCTGCAGGCTCCGCCCCTTGGGGACACAGAGCAGCTCAGGGTTCCTGGAAGGTGGCTGACTGCTGCCACTCCTCTGACATTCCCGACCTTTCCAGAGGAAAGAGCAGACTCACTGGCTGCAGTTCTCCTCCCCCCACAGGAGAGAGCGATGGATTAGGTGGGCCGCACTGCTGAAGCGCACAGTTAGAGACAGACCTGGGAGTTTAGTTTCTGGATCATGGCCCAGACTTGGGCTCAGGTGCCTGTGTGTGTCTGGGCCTCCTGGCTCCTTTCAAGGGCTGCCTCCCGAGCACAGGCTGTGGTGTCTGCCTGCAGATGTGTTGAGTGACAGGTTCAGAGAGCTGCAGAGAAAGCCTCAGCACAGGAAACGTGGTCGTGCTCCTGCACTGTATCTTGGAGATAATTCTCCTTCATCTGACACTGGGGTGGACAATTGTCCCCAGAAATGAAAGACACATTAGTGGCTATTGTGCAGAAAACTGCGCATGAAGAGAGAGGAAGATTGGTCCTCACACAGCTGGCGGTTTTGACTTCCATGCGTACAGATACGGGGGGTGTTCCTTTTTAATGTCTCAGCGAGACCAGTTCTGCATTCCAGTTCTCCTTTCAGATGGCACTTTTCCCGTGTGGAGTCTGGGTCCCGTGTGCACATGGAGCGGCGGCGTCGCCCATGCCTGCTGACTGAGCTCCACGGCCAGAGGGACAGAGCGGCCTGTCTGCCAAGGTGAGCTTCCTGGGAAGGAAACAGCTGTTTGGGAGATTGCTGTGTTTGAATCACGTTGCAAAGGGAGGACAGTTGACACTGGGTCTTGTGAAATGCATTAGATGACTCGTCATCATGACGAATAACCAGAGCAGTGGCCGCTAAAGAGGGTCCAGCAGCACAAAAGCACCTCAGAAACACCCTTAGGCATCGAGGGGGGCTCTGCTGGCTGCTGCAGCATGAACGTTCCAACAAGCAATTTCCACATCCTTCCCACGTGGAGCTGGCTGTTGTCTTTTTAATTTCTAAATTTGTATTATCTAATTGCTTCTAGGAAAACCAGCCTCATGAACTTATAATTCCAGCTTGCTTGAAATCTCTTTCTCTCCATAACCTTGTGGGGAGTCACCCGACCCAGCTGAGACTTCTCTCTTGGGTTCCTCCTTGTTCATCTCTAATTATTTACAGTTACGAATGGGAAGGCCCTCAGGGCTTTGATTCTCCCGCTGGGCACAGCCTTGGGGCAGTGACTGCGGCCCCCAGTGTGCTCTCCTCCTCTTTTGTGCTGTGGCAATAGTGTCCTCAGGATTTAGCAGGACACATGAGGTCCCAGAATAAAGACTACAATTCCCAGCATCCCTCGCAGCAAGGTGTGGTCACATTGTCATGTTCTGGCCAATGGGATGAGGGGGAAATGCCCCCTAAAGCCTGCCCTCTTCTTTCTCTCCACTTGCCCCCGGAGGGAAGTGGATGCCTGGAGCCACCTTGGATCACAGTAAGGAAGGGGTAGCCAGGGCTGCTGGAGCAGCCGTGTAGAAAGGTTGGACCTTAAGCCGCTGTTACTTGGGATCCCTGTTCCCGCAGCCGAACCCTGCTGAACATGCTCTTCCTCTCACACATGGAGCCATAGACTCCCCTCCCCTTGCTGCTCAGCCCGGATTCCTGCCTCCTCAGGGACGCGGGCCTGTTTGGGCCTCAGCAGTGCTCGTCCCTTAATTCATTCTAATCATCTTCTGTTCACTTACTGTGTGTGCGGTTTCGTGTTTCACGGTGGGGCTGCAGCCACGGAGAAGGCCCCTGGAGTCTGGAGCAGGTGTCCGCTGGCTTATGGCGGTCTACAGCCTGTGTGGGGGGAGGGTGGCAGCCCCCGGCTGGGGTGCTCCAGGGGACTCCTGCAGCTCCTTCCTGCCACTGCCTCTCAGTCCCTGAGCTCTACTCTCCTGCCCCTCCCTCGGACGGCACAGGAGGAGCCTCCTCGCCATCCAGACTGCTGCGGAGGATTTATGGAGGATTGGGGGCGATCGACAGGCATTTCTAGTCTCCCCTCAGAATGATTTAAAATACTGGAAAATTGCAAAGTCTTACTCGCACAGGCAGGATAATTTCTCCTGAGCCCCTGTGTCTACCCCAGGCTCAGACTGAATTGTTAACCAGACATTTATACGTGTGAAATACCTTCTATAAAACATCAGTGCCGACCACAAACCTACATCAGAAAACTCACCGTAAGACAAGCAAAGACGCTCAGCTGCCGTCCTCTTTGTGTCTTACATGATCCCAGCATTCATCACCAGCGCCAGCACAGATAACGTTAGCTGTGCAGATTAATTATCTCCAGGCAAAGACGGGAAAGATGAGGCCAGGCCCACGGGGGAACCCAGAGAGCGAATTGCTGCGCCGTCTGCTCTTCTCCCACATCATCACCCTTAGCACTGAGTTCCTTCCACTCACATCATCACATTTATGCTTAAAGCGCTCGGTGCAGAGTGGGCCCTGGGCAAATGGTTCTTGACTAGGTAAGTTTTCCCATCTCGGGACACTGGTTCGTGCTTGAGCCCCGATGCTGTGGAATGATGTGATGGTGCAAAGGGTGCCGCTTCTCTCAACCTCAGCATTTCTATTTATACGATTAAGGGGAAAATGTGAAGACTAACAAAATTCCAGGCATGGCAGAGTCTGCTGGGCCATCCTTTGCATCTTCCGTAGTCTAAAGTGTTTCTACATGAATGGGTACATGACTCTTTAGAACACAAACTACGTTCTCCGGCGCTCTGTTTAGCTCTCTGTGGTGAAGCGACCCATTTCTCACTAATAGGTCATGAGAGAAAGCAGTGCCCTTAACAGAAAGGGTTATGTGTGGTTTCCTATAAAAACATCATCCCCGCACCAGCGTCGAGGATAGCCAGGTAATCTACAAAATCATACTGGATTTCCTTAAAGCCGTAGAGAGCTGGGGTTCCATGGTGCCTCCAAGGAAGAGATGGGGCAGGAACAACTGGCTTAACCTGGACAGGGAGTGGGGTTAACACAGGCTTCTAGAAATGCTGCTAAGAACATTACTTCCAAAGTGTTTAGCAAATTTCTTCGAGCTCCATATGTATGTTCTATTCAGTGCGTGCAGAATCCTAGTAGGCACAGATACACGGGCAGGGTGCAGCCATTTTCAGAGGCTTCTCCACGGAGCTTGCTATTTACTCAAAGGAAATATTGGAGCCAGGGTGAGAGCGAAGAAAGTGCCCTTCTACGGTGTCAGCCTGGCTGAGGGTATACGGGTCACTGCAGGAAATGAATAGAGCCTTCCCAGATCTTCCTCTCCAGTCTCACCCATGGAGCAAAATCTTAAACCACAGAGGGGGTGGGGGATGGGGCAACAAATCATTCTGCCTCCAGGCCTTAGACAGAGACCCACTGTGACTAGACTCCCGGGGGAGGCCCAAAAACACCCTAGGCCCAGATCGTGGGAGATGCTTTCTGCTGAGAGAGGGCTGGAAACTCCCACGCAAGAAACACTGGAACGACAGGCAGAATTTGGATGCCACCGTAGGTGGAGCAGGAGCACTGGGTGAGCCTCTTCCTGGAGTCTCAGTGGCTCAGAGCCTACCTAATACTTGCGCTGACCCAGGACAACAGAGAATGTCCCCACCCTCATCATGAGGTGTGTAGGCATTGACAAGTCAAAACAGAACCCGTGGGAGAGGGGCAAGCAGGGAAAGAGAGAGCCTGTCTGAGGCACAGTCATAAACACAGCCTAAAGCAGAGCACGGAGCAAGAGCGTTGAGAAAAACTCTCCCGTAACTCAATGCCTGCTATAGACACAGGTAACACCAGCAGAGTTTGAAGCTTTGTGGTACACTGAGAGAAACCATAGAAGAGACATTTAAACCCAGCTCAACTGGATTCATTCACCTCCCATCTCAAATAAGGACCTAGTTAAAGCAGAAGCATACGGCCAATTCAGGTACAAGTACTGTTACCTCCATTTCTATTGTCTATCCCATGTCTATCTATCTATCTTTTTTTTTTGAGACAGGGCCTCACTCTGTCACCTGGGCTGGAGTGTAACGGCATGATCTCAGCTCACCTGTGCCTCCCAGGCTCAAGCAATTCTCCCCTCAGTCTTCCAAGTAGCTGGGACCACAGGCACACACCACCAAGCCCAGCTTATTTTTTTGTGTTTTTGGAGATGGCAAAGTTTTGCCATGTTGCCCAGGCTAGTCTCGAACTCCTGAGCTCAACCAGTAAGCCTGCCTCAGCCTCCCAAAGTGCTGGGATTACAGTCTAACTGTAGTTAGTGCCTGGTTCCCATGTCTAACTTCCAACCAAGGATTACAAACCACAGAAAAGGCAAGGAAAAACTCCAATGCCAAGAGTCAAAATGATAAACACACACTCAGATATCACAACACTGAAACTGTCCGTGAGTGTAAAATAATTTTGATTCATATATTAAAGGCTTCAAAGGAAAATATGAAGACTATGAATGAATATAGCAAATATCATCAGAGTGATGGAAACTACCACAGAGGATGGAATGCTCGCACGAGAGAAAAATCTCCGAGAGGGAGCCACAGAACGCTTTCCCCGGGCAGCCTGTCTGACACACAGGTGGGGAAAGAGTAAGTCATCACTGAGACAGGTCTACTGACTGAGCAACTGCAGCCGAAACAGCGGGGACAAATGTGTACAAGCTCTCGGCACACGCTAAAGTGAGAGATGTGCTGTCCTATTTCGGACAGTGCCGGAGAGAACTGGGGAGTAATTACGTAGTCGCAGTAAGGTAATGAGGGATGCAGCGGGAAGGTAACACCCCTTGGTGAAAAGGGAGGGGCGTGACTTCCATCCAAATGCTGGCTCTGCCACTCGATGGCTGCAGGCATTGGGCCTTGTTTCCTTTGTCTCAAAAAGGAAAAAGATCCTAGTATAAATCTCAATGGGATGTCGCGATCATTAAAAGACAGAGCCCAGTTGTCCCTAACACATTTTTGCATGTAGTAGATGCCCGAAACATGGTGGCTATTATTTTTCATCAGGGATTTCTCCTGTCTCTTTTTGTTTCAGACTTGACAAAACTTTGAAAGTAACCAGGAGCCATAATAGAAATATTCTAGGGAAACACCGTCTCCCGAGGTAGCAAAGACATATAGAAAGACAACAGGAAAGGGTAGCAGTTGTAATGACGGTAGTGATAGGTACCATTTGTAGAGAACCTGCTGGGTTTCAGCCAGGCTTGGTGCCAACCTCTGCATAGTAAGGACCTCATCCGTCGGCTCTGTGTGACGTGTCCTACACTCATTCCAAGAGGAGGACACTGACAGTAACAGAGATGAAAAGACTTTTTTTTTTTTTTTTTGAGACAGAGTCTCTGTCTCCCAGGCTGGAGTGCAGTGGCATGATCTCAGCTCACTACAAACTCCACCTCCCTGGTCCAAGTGATTCTCCTGCCTCAGCCTCCTGAGTAGCTGGAATTACAGGCACCTGCCACCACCCCAGCTAATTTCTGTATTTTTAGTAGAGACAGGATTTCACCATGTTGGCCAGGCTGGTTTCGATCTCCTGACCTCAGGTGATCTGCTCATTGTGGCCTCCCAAAGTGCTAGGATTATATTACAGGCATGAGCCACCTCACCTGAAGAAAAGATGTTATCAAGACCACAGATCCAGTGAGAGGAGCGCCAGGGCTCCACCCCTGTGCCTGACTTCTGATGTATGATGTCCTACATCTGATGTGCTTGGCAAGGATTTCTCACTGAGGAAAACAGGTCCCCGTGACCCCCTCAGCCTCCCAAGAGAGGAGCTGAACTGGGGGCTGGGGTATCAGCAAAAACAACCCTACTGTTCTCGTGGGAAACTTTGGTGGACCAAGTGCCATCATCAGACCCATCTCCAGGGCCATCATTGAGGCTAATGTCATCTTGCTGCTTTTCCACGGGAATTCGAACTTGTAAAGCACAGGAATAAATTGTGGAAAAAGAATTCATTTTTCATAAGTGCTGAGGGCACACAAGGCACATCTTCTGGAGATGTAACAGCGCGTAGCCACAGTGGCTCTGGGGGCAGAGAACCCTCAGACCTTGCCGCAAAGGACGCTGCACTCCGCCTGGATTCCCTCGGCACCTGGGTGGGCCGCCTGCCCATGGTCTACCCCGACAGTGGGCCTCACGCAGGCACCTACCCCTATCCATGCGCAGACCGTGTGAGAGGGACACCCAGACATCCCGGCCAGCATCAGTGTTGGGGACAGTCCTGGTGGTCCTCAGTGAGGAGCCCAGAGGGGCAGGAGGTTGTGAGAGGAATGGAGAAGAGCAGCAGAACGGGGCAGCTGGGATGGGGCAGCCGGGATGGGGCAGCGCTTGGGACCGGGAGAATTCTCAGATCTGCCATTTACACAGCCACCCATCACGGGGCCACAGATGCCTCTGCCCACGCTGCCGTTTCCACTGGCCTTTCCCACAGGGGAACCTGGGAGCCCGTGTGACTGTGAGAAGGGGTTGTGTCCAGTGGGTTGAACTCAGAGCCCGCTGGGGAAGCGGCACCTTCGTCCTCTTTCACCTGCAGCCAGGACATTTCCTCAAGCCTCCGAGGCTGCTGGCCAGGCTGGGGAGGTTTCTGCAGAGCAGGGCAGAGAGCACCCGGCTCAGGTGAGAAGGGGCTGTCAGGCAGGTGACCAGCAGCTGTGAGCCAGGAGATGGGGATTCAGGAGCCCACCTGCTGCTCTGCTCAGAGCTGAGAGGAGAAACAGTCCAGAGGAATGGCGGCCTCCCCCACCCCAGCTCATGCAGAATGCATTGGGATGCTGGGAAATTATGTATTTAATTTACCTGATTTCTAGAGAGCCCAACACTGTGACTCAGGTGCTTGTTTACATTGGCTGATGGCCCTGACCTTGGAAATGCAATTATCCCCCACCTGTCCCTCACCCACTTTCTCCAGGGGACTGTGAGGGCTGAGTGGTGCAGCCTCTGTGACATGCCTGGGCCAGGAGAAAGCCATTCCAAGGGGTTGTGAGAGCTGAGGGGGCAGATGCGGCTGCGCACAGCCGATCAGGGTTTGCTACTGGAAGTAGAGGGAGCAAATGCCAGGCAGGCAAAATGCCACAGGACATGCAACCACAGGCCACATGGCTTCAGCAAATGCAGCTGCTTCCGTTTGGCTGCAGACAGAGCCTGGACACACGTCTGTGACCAGAAATAGACCTTCCCCCTGGCGTCCGTGACCACAGCCCCTCAAGAGCAGCTCTGAACTGGCCCTGCCTGGCCCAGGTGTGGCTGTGGTGAGACCTGTATGGCATGTGGTGCCCCATGCTGGGACAATTCCTTTCTTAAATCACGAAGATGAATTAAGAAACAACATTCCTAGAGGCACTCTGGGGATGCGGAGGAATTAAGGATGAAAATCGCCAGAGCCAGGCTGGAGAAATTAATTTCAGTGTTTGAGTGCTCGGTCAGGAGGACTCATTAAGCAGAATGGAAATTGAGGCCTGACATTCCAGGAGGGCAGTAAAGACCTAATGAGAAAGAGGGAGGAGCAGGGCCACGCGGCACTGATGTGAGCTGCAGGTCACCAGCTGCAGGGCGGTGTGGCCCAGGTTCTAGACCAGCTCCTCCTGGCTGACTAAAGTCCCAGCCATGCCCAGTCCGTGCCACACGTCCTCATGTCTCTCTGTACCTCACAAACCACCCAAAAATGCTGTCACTTCAAGCAAAATCAATGATCTATTATTTCTGACAATTCTATGGTCAGGATCTCTGGCAGGGCCCAGCCCAGTGGCTCTTCTGCTGTGGTGTTGCCTGGGTTCACTTCCTCAGTTGCACCTGCTGGTGGCTGGGCTGAGCGGGAAGGTTCTGGAAGATTTTATGTGCCTGCCAGCATTGTTTTTGGAACGATTAAAAACAGCCTGTCTAATCCATCATCAAGGCCTCAACGGTTACCATGGAGACCACTTAATTACCAAGAGGAGAATTCAGGAGAAGCATCCGTCAAATGAGCGAAGGCTGTCAGGCGTTGACTTCTCCGTCTGAGACGAGGCTCTGGTCCTCAGGGCTGGGCTGTCTCTCCATGAAGTAGCAGCGGCCGCACCTCAGTGATGGGTCAGGATCACCCCTCGACTGAACCTGAGGCTTTAATTAAACTTCTCCAATGTCCACCCTGTGGCACCCTCTGACCCTTCACTCTGCTTGGGCTCAGCTGGGAAGAATGGGGATTTGAGACACTGATCTGATTTGCTAGTTGCCAAGGAAAGGGTGTCGAGGGAAATTCACGTTCAGGCTTTAGGAAGCGCAGATGTTGGCTCCGTCCTAATGCGCGAAGCTCACTGTGCCCCTGAGGACCCAGCAGGTTTCCTCCCATGACCTACTGAGATCTCTCAACTAAACTCCACCCGGGAAACTTGTGTCTGTGTGAGACAGGTGAGAGAATAACAGCTCAGAGACCCAGCGGAAGCCCCTGCTGACCTTGGGGTGTCCTCTAGCACATGACAGAGGACACACCCGGAGGTCCAGGCAGCACTCCCAGTCCAGACTTAAAACATGCAATTGATCCCCAGTCGTTGAAAAGGGAGATTTCCGTGAATTCTTCTGTTCACACACATTTATCTCACCTTAGCTCTGAGCTGGGCACTGCCATGGGTGCTGGGGATAGATACAAGGGGAGCAAAGGCCCTGCCCACGTGTAGACCCCCTTCGTGGGCCCACGTTCAGGCCAGATCCCTGGGTGGATCCTACAGCCTGGGCAGCTGGCACAGGGCTCTCCTTTCTGCAGCATGTGTGTGCGGAGCTGCTGCTCTCCTTCGGGTGGGGACTTCACCCTCTCTGCGCCACAGTCCCCACCACGCCCTATTGCTCCCACGCTGGGGCCGATGCCACTTGCTCTTTGCACATTGGGTGAAGCTTCCTCAGAATAGGCCAACAGGGAAAGGGAAGGGGCTGTTTTCATTGTTTGTTTGTTTTTTCATGTTTACCAAAATTAGGAAAACGGAAGCTAGACCATGAGGACGGAGTGTTTCCAGAGCCCGGATGAACATTTCCTCAGCGTTGTGGAAAATTCGCGGTTGAAACTCCGGACTCAGAGCCGGTTGGCCTCGGCTGTCCCTCAGCCTCCTCGTCCTGGCTGGAGGATGGAGCAGCTTCCTGCGTCTCGGACCCTCAGGTTCCTCACCTGTGAAATGGGGATGAGAACAGCACCTGCCACTTCCGGCTCTTTTTAAAAAACAATTTCAAAAGAGATGAGGCCTCACCATGTTGCCCGGGCTGGTGTCTGACTCATGGGCTCAAGCGATCCTGCCCCCTTGCCTCCCAGAGTGCTGGGATTACAGGCTTGAGCCACCACGCCCAGCCCCTCTTCTGGCTCTCATGAGGGTTGAGTGAGCCCGTACTCCTGAAGAACACAGATTTTAAGCTTCATCATCATCATCATCATCATCACTTTGCTATGCAAATAAGACCCCATCCTGCATGCAGGTCATTTCCTGCCCCTGGTGGCGTCTGAGTTTTCAATCCCTGTGAGTGGGCATCGGGCTCAGAGCTTTGGACGGATGAGGCCTTAGCTAGTTGTGAATAACGTCATTCTGTCTTCATTTCACGTTCAAAGCACCTTCTGTTTACGGTCGGGGAGAATGATTTTCTGCTTATGGTAGTGACATGATGTGTCCTCTTTAGAGGAATTTAGTGAAGTGAAAGTGAGATGAATTAAAGAAACATGTGGACTGAGTAATGTGTATAGAACACGGAAGGTGGGAAGTGGAGACTGGAGTTTGGGAAGCCAAGAACGAGTTCAATCTCCTCATTTTACAAGTGGGGAAACTGAGGCCCAGAGAAGGGACAGGACTCACCCAGGACTACAGAGCAAGGCTAAGGCAGACGAAGACCAGAATCCCCAGACTCAGTGTGTGACTGATCACTGCTGATGGCTCACCCACTAGGGACAGGAGGAGGATGCAAGGAGGAGGAGGGGAAGGGCAAGGAGGAGGCGGGGGAGGAGGGGGAGGAAGAGAACGAGGAAGAGGAAGGGAATGAGGAGGAGGAGGAAGAGGGGGAGTGGGAGAGGAAGTGGGGAAGAGGAGGAGAGGGGTAGGAGGAAGAGGAGGAGGAACTGGAGGAAGAAGGGGAAGAGGAGGAGGAGGAGGGGTAGGAGGAAGAGGAGGAAGGGAGCAGAAGGCATCTGTGGGCTCTCATTGCCCAGTTTCGTCCTCTGTAGGGAAGGCCCGAGGGAGCCTGTCACGGCTTTTCAGTCTCTGCACCGTCTGGCAGCTTTCACACAATGGCAGGTTTTGGTAGCTGTGGGAGAGCCCCATGACCCTCGAAAATGAAGGTATTTCCCAAATGGTCTTTATGGAAGAAGTTTTCTGGCCCAGTTCTCCCCTGTGGTCCTCCACCCCCCAGTGTCCCTCCCCTGTGTCCCCTCCCCTGCATCTCCTTCCCTATGTCCCCTCCTCTGTGTCCCTGGTGTCCCCAGTGTCCCCTCCCCTATGTCCCTGGTGTCCCCTCCCCTGTGTCCCCTCCCCTGTGTCCCCTGTGTCCCCTCTCCTCTCCTCTCTCCTGGCATCCCTTGCATCCTCTCCCTTGTGGCCCCAGCGTCCCCTGTGTATGTGGTGTTGGACGGCAGCCTCCAGGCAAAGGCCACACCAGAGCCGGCTTTCCCCATCACAGATCAGCTGGCTGGCTTTTGCGAGTCTGTTCCTGGGCTCCCTGTTTCGTCCCAGTGATTATCTTCTTTCATTGATACTGTTACCTGGGATGAATGCCTGCGGGACAGAGCTGAATTTCTGCCCTGCGCTAACTCTGCTTATCTTTAGGAAACAGGACGCCTGGGATAAAAAGCTCCCATTGTAACCAGAGCAGCTGAGACTGGTTCAAACCAAGATAGCAGACCAATCCACTTCAAAAAGGCCTCAAGCCTCATTATCATCTCATTTCCATGCTCAGTGACACTCCCCTTAGTGCCATGAGAGTTGAAAATCGCCATGACAATGACTGGAAGAAGCATAAAGAGACAAAAAGGAAAGCTGCACTCGTTCCGGGAAGCTCACTGCCCGTTCCCAGGAAACACGTGAATATTCCTCCCCTTGCTTGGCATGTCCAGCCCTTTCAAGAGAGAGTCCCCGAACGTCAACCTGCCCACCCCTGTCATGAGTCCCGCATGTCAGCCTCCCCACCCCTCCCATGTCAGCCTCCCCACCCCTCCCATGTCAGCCTCCCCACCCCTCCCATGTCAGCCTCCCCACCCCTCCCATGAATCCCCACATGTCAGCCTCCCCACCCCTCCCATGTCAGCCTCCCCACCCCTCCCATGAATCCCCACATGTCAGCCTCCCCACCCCTCCCATGTCAGCCTCCCCACCCCTCCCATGTCAGCCTCCCCACCCCTCCCATGTCAGCCTCCCCACCCCTCCCATGAATCCCCACATGTCAGCCTCCCCACCCCTCCCATGTCAGCCTCCCCACCCCTCCCATGTCAGCCTCCCCACCCCTCCCTCCGATGCCAAGTTGATCTGTGAGCTGTGCACCCCCTCCTCAAGCCCACAGCCTTGGAACAAAGCCTGCACTGCTGGACGCTCACTTTCAGTTCCATGTATTGGCTTCCTGACACCCAACAGGGAAAGACCCTGTCACTGGGGGAATGGCTGTCGGTGACAGTACCACGCTATCTTGTTATTGTAGTTTTACGGTAGGACTTGAAGTCAGGTATGAGGGTCCTCCAACTCTGTTCTTTTTCTTCCTCATGGGGTTGGCTGTTCCAACTTTAGGATCAGTTGACAGAATCTATAGAATGCCTTGCTGCGATTGGCTGGGAGTGCAGTCAATCACCTCTGGGTTCTAATAGCCAAAATTCATAGAGTGTGCAGATCTCCCTTTGAAAAAATGGCCGATGATTACATAAGAGTTAATCCAATTCCCGTGAACAAACCTTAATATAACACATCCAACAAAACTATGTCTAGAAACTAAGTGACATCACACACATGCTTGTTATAATCCTGTGTGTTCAAAAGTGCACCAGGTGCCAGTGGGGGCCAAAGGACGCTAACACATGCTGACCTGTGCTGCGGGTTGGGGGTCACCATTTGTAAACAGGTGACAGTTGGCTGACAGCCTTGTTGACCATTTATCTGCTGATCAAAAAGGACCCTGTCAGTACGGTGCACCGTGACACACATTTGAACCCTCATATGTGTTAGTCGGTTATCATGCTGCTGGTGAAGATCTACCCAAGACTGGCTGATTTATAAAGGATAGAGGTTTATGGACTCACAGCTCCACTTGGCTGGGGAGGCCTCACAAACACGGTGAAAGACAAAAGAGGAGCAATGCCGTGTGACGTGGCGGCAGGCAGGAGGGCCTGTGCAGAGGAACTGCCCTTTATAAAACCAAATTCACTATGGCAGGAACAGCCTGGGAAAGGTCCGCCCCCATGACTCAATTACCTCCCACCAAGTCCCTCCCATGACACGTGGGAATTACGGGAGCTCCACGTCAGGAGGAGATTTGGGTGGGGACTCAGTCACACCATATCGGTGTGTAAGCATTTTACGGGGCTTTGGCTGAATTAGGGAACTGATCGGAGATTTTGACATCATACATTATAATTTTCCCATTTAAAATAAAAATGCAAAATGTGTTCTCAGTTGGTGTTTCCAAGCAGATTCTGACATTTTGCAACAGGATTCCAACGTTAAGAGAAAGCTCCCTGTCACTTACTGGTTCTGATGGGTCAGATCTGGACTCGGGAACGGAGGGGCAGGCTTAGTTCCTCCTCAACCACTGAGGTGGGGTCCGAGGGATCACCCAGAAGAACACTGGGGTTCATTTAGCAACAGAATGGAAAACGGATATGGAAAAGCAAATAACAGATTTTGCAGAAAAGTTTTCTGTCCAAGAGCTAAATATGTGACACATCAACGTGCTCAATGTGCTTACATAGCGGGTTATACGTAAGGCATCTGCCCACAGGCATGAATGCCCGGAGGTCTGGGCACCTCCCACCACTAGGGAATTAGTGCACAGGGTAAGCTTTAACACGTTATCAAGTGTTTTCATCCCCATGTTTCCTGTGACCATGTGGCCCTCCCCTACATCCCTGGTGTCCTCTCCCCTGTGTCCCCTCCCCTGTATCCCCTCTCCTGTGTCCCCTGTGTCCCCTGTGCCCCCTCTCCTGTCCCCTGTGTCCCCTCTCCTTTGTCCCCTGTATCCCCTCTCCTGTGTCCCCTGTATCCCCTCTCCTCTGTCCCCTGTATCCCCTCTCCTGTGTCCCCTCTCCTCTGTCCCCTGTGTCCCCTCTCCTCTGTCCCCTGTGTCCCCTCTCCTGTGTCCCCTGTGTCCCCTCTCCTCTGTCCCCTGTATCCCCTCTCCTGTGTCCCCTGTGTCCTCTCTCCTCTGTCCCCTGTGTCCCCTCTCCTCTGTCCCCTGTGTTCCCTCTCCTCTGTCCCCTGTGTCCCCTCTCCTCTGTCCCCTGTGTCCCCTCTCCTGTGTCCCCTGTGTTCCCTCTCCTCTGTCCCGGCATCCCTTGCATCCTTTCCCTTGTGGCCCCAGCATCCCCTGTGTACTTGGTCTTGTCCAGGGTGGTCCAAATCCGGGGGGGGAAGCGGGGAAAGCAGGCCCAGTGGGGATGTCCCCACCCACAGCCCCCTCCTCCTCCTGCTGGAGCAGCCCCATCTGCTGGGAGCACTCCCCAGGTGGTGTGGGGGTCATATTTAGAGTAGGGGTCATTCCTGTTTATCTGAAGTGCAAATCTGCCTGGCATCAGGTACATTTGTACATTTATTTACTAACCTGCAGCTCCACCCGCAATGATTTGGGACAGTCATTCCCATCTCCCGGGGAAGGGTCACTGGTGCTTAGACAGGCACTTTGCACCCTGGGTGCCTAGAGGTGGGCTCCCCTTCATGGAGAGGCCTAACAGTGCTCCTGCTCCCTGGACAGGGTCTCCTCACAGCCCAGGGTCTGGGTGGTCCCTGTGGTCCGCAGGGAAGGCTGTTCTGTGCCCTCCAGCAAGGAAGGCGGCTGCAGGTGGGGCTGCAGGGAGGCCAGGTCCTACCCGGTGGAGGCCAGAGCTGGGTCACTGAGTTCTCTCTGCTCTTGTCCTGAAACCCCAACGCCAGCTCTAGAAAGAGCAGCCCCTTTGCCTTGGCCTCTCTATGGGGCACCGGCCTCCCACCCCACCCCACCCCGGCAGTGGCAGCAGGAGCTACAGGGGGCGGGGGCAGGAAGCTACCTGTGCCCCTCACAGCCCCGCCCGAGGACGCTGATCTGTCTGCTTGGCCACAGGTCCAGAAAGGTCTGGACTTGATCCTGGCACTCAGGGTCTCTGTGAACTTGGACTGTCTTCCTGGGGCGGGGGGCACGGCCAGTGCGTCTCACGGGCATGGCAGGCTGATGAAACCGTCACACAGCTTTTCGGCCCTGAGCTTAGGGCTTAATGCTGTCTCATATCACTTAACACCCTCAGGGACCTGGGTGAGGGATGGTCCCATTCCCACTGACAGAGGAAGAGGCTGGGGTGCGCTGAGAGGCAATCACAGGGGTGCTGGTGACATTTAACAGGCAGCTCTCCAGGAAGACAAAGCACCCTGAGTTGTGGAGATTGCCAGGTGCCCTGGTGCAAATGTTCCAGCATATCCAATTTCAAGTGCTAGCTGTTTAACAACCAGCTCATAAAACCCCTGAACATGTGAGAATCAGCTCCCACAAGCTGCTCTGGGACAGCTCCCTGA